TGCCACCCCCTGCCGGCCTGGTCGCCCCACACAGCCTGCTGTTCAGTCGTTTGGTCGTCCCTCTGCCCCCCCCCTGCTGTCCTGGTCGCCCCAACTGTCCCCCCTGCCAGCCTGGTCGCCCCTCACAGCCCCTTAGCTGGCCTGGTCACCCCATGCAGCCTGCTGTTCAATCTTTTGGTTGTCCCTAACTAACCCCCCTGCCAGCTTGGTCGCCCCATGCAGCCTGCTTATTCAGTCATTTGGTCATCCCTCACTAACCCCTCTGCTGGCCTAGTCATAGGCAGCCTTCTTGTTAGGGTGTGTGGGTTAATTTGCATATTACCTCTTTATTATATAGGATGCTATAAATGATCTCTAATTCTCACAACCATATGAAGTATGCACCATTATCCCCATTTTACAGATGAGAAAATTGAGGCTGAGAGAGGCTAAATAACTTGCCCAGTTTTTGGCTTGTAAGTAGTGAAGCTCAGGAGATACTATGCCTTCTCACCTACAAGCTATGACAACCCCTGGATTGCCTTATCCCTGGAAAATCAAGAGTAGAGAGTGTTGTTTAGGAGGGGATATCTGTGGATTTAGGGTTGGAAAGTAAGTCTAAGGATAATGGGCAGTCAGAGGGGATTGGGATGGTTAAAAACAGGAGGAGATGCCTTAGCTGGGTGGCTCAGTGGATAGAGCATCAGCCGGTGGATCGAAGGGTTCCGGGTTCGATTCTGGTCAAGGGCATGTACCTCAGTTGCAGGCTCTTCCCCCGTCCAGGCCCTGGTCAGGGCTTGTGCAAGAGGCAACCAATCAATGTGTTTCTCTCACATCAATATTTCTCTCTGTCTCTCCCTCTCTCTTACACTCTCTCTAAAAATCAATGGAAAAATATCCTTGGGTGAGGATCAACAACAACAACAACAAAAGACAAACAAACAGGCAGGGCCAATGGAGTGTGAGTGTGGCACAAGGGCAATGTGAGGCTGGGGCCTATGGGCTGGACCTGCAGGATCCTATGCCTGATAATTGAAGGGAGGGGATGGAAAGTGGCAGTTCTAACTATTCGTACACTAGTACTTAGGGTGTATTGTAAGTAACCTCGATAGATTGAAGTGTATTCTACTTATCCAAGAAGCACCCCACTCCAATAGAGCAGGTCTAGAAAAATTAACTCATAAAGTACAGAGATTTGCATAAGTAGAAGGGAAGAAAAGAGAAGCGAAATGACTTGGCTGGCAGCTCCCTAGCTGCTGTGCCTTTGGGGCAAAGGTAGGCAAAGTAGCTTAGGGGAAAGGAAGGGGGGGGGCGGTTAATGGGAAAAAGAGAAGCAAGAAGGAGAAGAGAGTAGGGTTTGTCAGGCATAGGGCTCCAGGTGTCCATGCAAAACATTCAGGAGTGGGACCTTGTGACAGGACTGCCATGGGGTCACAGACTGTGTCGGCCATCTGGTCATCCCAGAGGAGGGTGTGGCACCTGCTGTCGCTTTATGCGTTTGGGGAGCTGGCCAGCACTTTTGAGGCCCTTTATCCGCAATCCTGGGCACTGCCCACAGTTGAGCAGTGGTGCTCCCAGCAAGCTGGCTGGCCGGGTGTCCTGAGGAGAAGCACAGTGAGTCAAAGTGCATGGCACACTCACTTTACCTTTTCTACCAGTATAACTCCTCATAAAAGCGACATGCATAAACACGGACTAATTACTAAGAGCTGGCCCTTGCCAAGCAATTTTTAAAAAGCAAGAAACAATTTAAAACCAGATAGAAAAAAATTCAAATGTGACACCATTTCATGAAACTTTGGGCATTACTAGTTGTGGCTGATTTTTGAGGACCTAAAAGGACATTTAACCTGTATGTTTTCTTTGAGTGAAAAAGTTTTATGGGGGGTGGGGGCGGGTTGGCAAAACCATTCTATGGCCTTGGCTCTGGCAATGTGAGCTTTATGAAAGTTAAAATGGTTTTTATTGTGAAATATGTCACACACACACACACACACACACACACACACACACACACACAAGAATCTATAGATGGCGTGCTTAGCATTATTGGGAGAACGAGAACAGACATGTAACTTCGGAGCTCCCTATGAGCCTCACTGATTGTACCCCCTTCCTTCCTGGCCCGGGGATGGTTCCTCTGTGGGATTTTGTGTCAAATCATTCCTTTGTGTTTCTTTACAGTTTTAGTGCTAAACCTTATATTACTTACTTTTCCAGTTTTTAAACATCATATAAATGGGATCATATTGTGTATATTCTTTTGTGTCTGGTTTTTTGTTGTTGTTCGATGTTGCTTCCTGTACCTTCATACTGTTCATTCCCCTGTGGATTGTACTCAGTTTACTCATCTTTCTACCCTGATGGCCTCATGGTTGTTTCCAGAGCTTGTCTTATGAACAGAGCTGCCATGGACATTCTTTCTCATGTCTTCAAGCATGATTGTGCAAGAGTCTTTCTAGAGCATTGGGTATTTTTTTAAAACTATGCAAGTAGTATATACTTGGTATAGAAACTATTTTATGAATATCCTTTCAAACCCAAAAGATAATAACATCTCTTGTTGTTCATCTTGCTTCATACTAGATACTACAGTGAGAGCACAATTTTCACAATTACCCTCTGAGGCAGGAGTTATTATTCTAGTTTTACAGAGAAGGTCACAGAGGCCTAGTGAGGTTAAGAGACTGGTTCAAGTCAAGCAGTGTGGTTAGTGGCAGAGCTGGCACTCAGAGCCTGGTGTGTTTGATCCCAATGAAAGGATGAGTTTATCTCATTGCACTCCCACCTACCCACCGTCTGCCTTTATTAAAAGTATCGCACAGTAGGTGGTGTTTATATATAACACATTAACACACACACACACACACACACACACACACACACACCCACACACTCAGTAATCCCCTTCCTCCAGTGCCCTCTTCTGGGCCTTTCAGAGTGTTCTCAGGGTTTAGGACCAGAGGATGGAGAAGTGCTCATCTTTGTTCCTGGTGAGTTTCCACTTTTAAGACAAAAGCTGGATACATACCCAGATCATGAACAAAAATGCAAACCCTGCAGCACACCAAGGGGTACAAATATGTGGTTCATGGATATTATTTCAAGAGCTTGACACATAGTAGGTACTCAATAAATATTTGTTGAATGAATGAAATGAATACCAGCTGCATGTTAAGAGCTGAGTAATGGAGCCACCAAAGCTTGGTGGTTAATTGTATAAAGCTTTCTGGTAGGATGGGCTGGGGACCAGATGAAGCAGACCAGAGGGTGGTCATTCCTGGTGTAGGGGGTGGGGTGGGGAGACGTTCCTGGCTGGGGCTTTAAGGAGGGATGAAGCAAAGCCTTAACCTGAGCGATGATGAGAGTGGTAAGGAAAACCAGTCAATGAGGGCAAGAATCCTGAAGGCCTTAGGGTAGTG